GTCACCACAAGGTTGGCTTGCTTCTAGTGCCAGCAAAAGACCTCCCGGGCAGGACCTCCACTACCTGGGTCACCTCCTAGCTAGCTGGACTGGTTTCTAAAAATCCAGCCAGCATCTCCCTCCTTGGGGACAGGGATTACAGACACCCCCTCTTTGGGGAACCGGCCAGCAGCCCTGCCTTCCCAGACACATCTGCGGGGGCCAGCTCTCCCCCTGCAGCACCAGCCCACAGGCTGCGGTGGCACCTTGGGTCCCAGGACAAAAGCCCCCTTTGCTGTCCCACTGCCACCCTACCCATGCCTCCCAGGAAGGTCCCAAAGCTTTGCAGGGCTGCTCGAGGAGCCACATACGCTGACACGAGGTGTGCTGCCCTGGAGGTCACACACGCCCTCATGCTGTCTCCATCCTTCAAGGCTGGTCCTTGGTCTCAGCCAGGACATTTCCAGTATCCCCGAGGGGAACTTCAGAGGAGCGAGATGCTGCCAACAATAAAACCATGGCCAGGACACTCCGGCATACTGACAAAGCTATCGCAGGGCAGGATTCATCTCACCTGGTGCTGGACGGTACCAAGCAGATATCTAAGCTGTCTCAAACCCTGTTTTATCAGTGAAGAGACTGGCACGACTAGAGCATGAATCATCTGACTAATCACACCCCAGAGCGTCCATGTCCCACAACAGATGCAGCCACTGCCCACGGCACTCACCCTGAGCACGCTGGGCTCTGAACACGCCGGCAAGCCAAGGAACCATGTAGGAAATGGTCCTGAGCTGACCTGTCGTTTGTATGGATTTGAAGAAGAGGTGTGCACAAGACCTTCCCTCCTAAGCATCTCCTGGGCTTTCTCCTCCTCAGCAGCCAAAGAAGGGATCTCCTCTTCATCTAGTGATGAAGATGGATTTGTTCCAAGTGCAAAGCAGCCCCTAGCCTGCAATGCGAATAACAGCCTCAGTAACAATCCCGACAGCCACGAGCCCTGTGCAGGAGGTGGGCTGTGCACACAGCGGTGATGGGCTTGCTGGACAGGGCTGGCATCCCCGTCGGCCTGTCCCCAGGTGGGACACTGTGGTCCCTGCCATGGACCAGGCTCTGCAGAGCAGGGAGGTGCACAACACAACCCAAGTCTGGGCAGGAGCTGCCTTTTGGGTGGGACGCCATCCTAGACACACCCCTCAGGAGTGTGGAAGGATTTTTAGACGCTGCAATAACCAGCTGGCTGGCAGGCAGCTCCCCGCTTCTTTCTCCAGTGAGCTTCTGAAGCTGTGTCTGAGCAGAGCCTCTCAGTGTGCAGGGCAGCACCAGCCACTCCAGAGAGCTGTCTGCGGGACACCAGCTAAGGGATGCTGAGAGGCCTCCTGGAGGGACCGTGCTGCTGCCAATGCCTCAGCGCTGTCACTTCGGGACAAATCCCTTTGCTTCCAGCCCTGCTCCCTGCAGGGCAGCTGCCCCCAGCTACCCACTGCCTCCCTCAGCAGCATGTGCTGATGAGACTTAGCTCCTGGCAGAAAACTCTTCCCCACGGTGCTGATTTACTAACCGGTGAAGGGGGAGCAGCTCTCGCCCCTCTCTCCTGCTTAAACACTAAGGATCAATTTGGCAGCAGCAGCAAATCCCGTGAAGGCAGCGAGATGCCCAAAGGCATCAGCAGCTCCTGGTCCATCACAACACCGCAGGGATGGACCTGGGTGGTGGACATCTGGCGCTGGTCACTTCCAACCGGCAGCAAGGATCCTACTGAGAGAAATATTAACGGAGTCTGCAAAGGCAGGGGTGGGGATAAGCTCATTTGTTAAATGACTCTGTCCCTATTCAAGGGACCAATGCAGGATTTTAACAGAGGAAACAGTGACAAGAAAACCCACGATGAAACTCCCCATTTCCCTTCTGGGCCAAGAGGATCACGGGTAGCCCATCATGCCTGACATTTCCTAATTAGCCTATCAAAGCCCTGGCTGGCTTTTACATTTTCTAGATGAAAAAGGAGGAAGGTGGATGAGCAGAGGCTAAAACCAGAGCAATGATTTTCCCTGTGGATCTGTCACAGCTGTGCAGATCTGGTCTGCAACAGCCCTCTTCATTTTGCTTGTCCTGGAAACTGCAACAGAAAACAGGGTGGCAGCCCTGGAAACCCTGCCGCACCAGCCCGCAGTGCTGAGGTGCACCCGCTACCAGTAGGGAGGAGATACCAGCCCTTCTTCCCCATTAGGTTGGGCTGTGATCACAAGCATCTCTGCTGCTCCATGCACGACAGCCCAGCGCTGGGTCTCGTTACGCTTTTTGCTTCAAAGCACATATTCCTGCACACACTTCTCAGCCGCTCAGATTGCCCAGAGAGGACCCAACAAGGTGGCATGCAAAAAACTCATGCCTCCAACAGACCTGTCCACCAAAGTTTGGCTCTGCTACGTGCTAAGCTTCTGTGTGCTGAGAACTGATTAGTCTTCCTCCGCTCTCTGTGCCAAAACTATCTCACCGAGATGTATGCACGATTTTTTTTTTGCCGCTGCTCTGCTGCCAGGTTGCTTTGCCTTCCTCCCTGTGTGCCCAACATCAGCCTCTGCCCTGCTGGGTGACACAGCTGGAGACCCGCCTTGGGAAAGCAATGCCCAAGAGCTAAGCGTTGTTGCTTTGCTGAGCACGGGAGCATCCTTCTCCGACCACCTGCCCTGTGCTCGTGGTCAGCGCTGCAGCTCGGGACCGAGCACACATCCCAGATAAGCATGAGGAATGCTGCCTGCCAGGTCCACGTGGGAGCAGAGCTTTTGCCTTCCTGTGTGTGACCCTGAGGTTCGAATGAGGAGAGCAGCATCAAGATGCTGCCCTGCAAGTGCCCCAGGGCCCCAGCTCCCAGCATCACGCTTACCGCTCCAGCACAGTGCCACTAAAGCCACCGCCTGCATGCCAACCGCTTCACTCCTTAGGCCTTCATGTCAGCTCTGGACACTCAGTTCCCACGGTGGCATAGCCAGGACACGAGATTCCCTTCCAGCCTGTCTGATCCCCCCACCCCTACTGACAGGCCCCCGAGAAGGTGCTGGTCCCCAGCCGATGCAGCGATCAATGGGTGGAGCGAGGACCTTCTGTCTCTGCACACACATGCCACACCACTACACATGTGCAACCGCCGTGGTCAGGCCATCCATGGGGCAGAGGGGGTCAGTAAGGGGTGGGGTGGCTGTTGTGAAGGGCACACACTGCCTGCACCCCCAAGAGCTATCGCTGGGGTGCCTGAAGGGAAGTTACACAGGAAACCCTGTGTTTCCATGCACAGAAATTCACTTACGCTTCTTTTTCCCCTCCACCCCTTTGAAATCAAAGACGGGAATTGAGAAGGAGGCTCAGAATATTTGGAGCAGACAGTCCCATGCATCACCCACTGCCAGGACTCTAGCTGTACAGAAGAGCTTGGTGTCACCAGGGCTGAGTGCCAGCGAGGGCTGCAGAGCTCAAGCAGGCGGGGAGGGCGCAGAGCATTTATGAAAACTGTGCCATCACTTTCTTCTTTCTTTTATAAGGTCAGATATTTTTTTTGGTGATGGTCATGGCCAGCGACACTGGCAAAAAGTCAATTTTAGGCACCATCTGACAGGAAATCCTTCCTGCATCCATAGTACTGCACAGAATCACACGCCACACAGTTTTTAATGATTTTTGATGGATTGTTTCCTCTAGGACTCGCCAAAACCAGGCAAAGCAGCTTCAAGCTCCAGGCTATTTTGCAGGAGAAAGTGGTGCAAGTATCTCCACGATGAGCTGGAGTTTTGGGACTTTCTTTATTTTTCTGCTGCTCTAAGTTAAGCTGACCAGTAGGAAGACGACATAAACCAACTCGTTAACTCATCATATCATTACCATTTTATCAACTGATTTAAAAACATATATCTAACACAGTAATTTAAACTGGAAAAAAATGTGATGACACGGTTTCAGACTGCAACATGAATAAAGTTGCAAAGCACAGTCATTTGGATCAGCATCTCCCAGTCTGCAGTCACTGAAGCGGATGTTTGGAATCTCACTCAAATATAAAGCAAACACCCTACTGAAAACACAAGAGATTATTCCCTTACTTCCCCGCCTCGTCTTTGCTGCAGCATTACTTAAAATTATTTAGTCATATGAAATTGGAAAGTCTATTTGACCTAAAAAACCCAGAGGTGGGACAGCTGGCTCTAAAGGCAGGGGATGCTCTGACACCGCTCACAGAGGCCGGGTCTGCAGATGGAATTCCGGGATGCAATGTCTATCCGTAGGAAGCACGAGAATTCCTTCCAAGTAGCTACGGAGCAAAGACACATGTTAATGTTGGGATGAGTCACTTGGTCAGCATTTGCTCCCACGGGGATGCAGGCAACAAGAACCTTGGATTCTTGAGCCTGAGCTCCTGTTTGGGTACAACCTCTGACTCCACTTAGATTTCTGGGGCTCTTCCTCGGGCAATGCACCCCTCCCTTACCACCCGCTCCGGCCAGTGCTGCCTCTCCAGCCCTTGGCTTTGTCCCTTGCATGTCAAACATTCAGGACTCCAGAAGATACATGGTGGGGCTGCTGCTGGGTCAGGTGGCGGAGCGTGAGTGGGAATGCCCGGTGTCCCTCACCCCTCCAGCCCACCCCACAAACCCCAGGCACCGTGCTCTGCCCGGCTCAGTGTCCCCACATGAGGCACAGAGCAGGGCACGGCGTGGGTGAGAGGAAATGCGTGAGGGCTTCTGTTTCAGTGCATGAAGGCTGCAAAAAACCCACATTCTTCTGTAATAAGAGGTTGATTAGCTCTTCAAAGAGCTCAGCAGGTGCTCTTTAAAGAAAGTGTTTCTGGACCAGCCTTAATTGAGGCAAATCATGTTGTTTGTCCAAACTGCTCCACTGGCACAGCTCAGCGTTTAGCTTGTTGAAGAAGGTGGAAGACAGCATCCATCCTTCGAGACTGTGCTGTGCACATGGCTCCAACACATGCCACCACTGAGGTACCTTCTAGGACTGGGGATTTCTCTTCTGACCTGCTGTTGGGACAGCGGGCCTGTCTGGCAATGCCTGCAGCGTGGCCCGGGCAGTCAGCGGCCAAGCAGCATCCTTCAGCCGAAACCGCTCCAAGGTGTCTGTGGATGAGCAGAGAGCTGGCCGGTGGCTGTTGATCTCCCCAGGAGGGGTCTCATCCATGACAGGCCTGAGGAAAAGAGAGAAACACTGCGGTGAAGTTGCACTCTGGGTCTGGATATCTGCATCCCCCCCCAGCTCTGACACCTCCCGCTCTGGAAACTGAACCAGAACTGCCAGGCCTGGGAGCGGCACCAAGCACACTGGCTCCCCACACCAGGCACGCGCTACTCTGTAATGACCGCATTAACTTCAGAATTGGTTGATGGGTGATTGGTTGGCTGAAAAGAAGCTCAATATGAGCCGGCAACATGCACTTGCAGCCCAGAAACCCCCCATGTCCTGGGGGCATCCAGAGAAGCATGACCAGCAGGTCGAGGGAGGGTGATTCTCCCCCTCTGCTCCACTCTGGTGAGACCCCCCTGCAGGGCTGCCTGCAGCTCTGGGGTCCTCAGCACGGAGCTGCTGGAGCGGGGCCAGAGGAGCCACGGAGATGGGCAGAGGCTGGAGCAGCTCCCGTGCGAGGACAGGCTGAGAGAGTTGGGGGTGTGCAGCCTGGAGAAGAGAAGGCTCCGGGGAGACCTTCCAGCACCTTCCAGTGCTGAAAGGGGGCTACAGGAGAGATGGGGGGGGACCCTAGATCAGGGAGCATAGTGACAGGACAAGGGGTAACAGTTTTAAGCTGGAAGAGGGCAGATTTAGATGAGATGTGAGGAAGAAATATTTTCCTGTGCAGGGGGTGAGGCAGTGGCCCAGGTTGCCCAGAGAAGCTGTGGATGCCCCATCCCTGGAGGGGTCCAAGGCCAGGCTGGATGAGGCTTTGGGCAACCTGGGCTGGTGGGAGGTGTCCCTGCCCATGGCAGGGGGGGGGACTGGATGATCTCTAATGTCCCTTCTGACCCAAACCATTCTGTGATTCTATGAAAATCAAGGTGTCATGTCACAACTCCTCAGTTTCATTTCTTTATAGAAGCAACACGATGCCAATGTTACAGGAAGTGGGTTCAGAAATAACCATGTTTGTGGTGCACGTGACACTTCTCTACTTTATTTTCCAAAGTTCTTTCTAACATGAATCAAACTAAGTTTCACTGGAAAAAAACCCAAAGTGGGATGTCAAGAACTTGTCCCAGAGTTTACAGGAGGAGAGTCTTGATCAAGTGCTACTACAAAAGCCCTGCAGCAGACATGGGCAGAGGCTCTGCGTGGGGAACATGAGAACGGAGCAGTAAGAACACAGGAACACTCTGGGTTATTATTCAAGAAAATACAAAATTTCCAATGCTCAAGCTATAAGGAACATGAGAAAATGTTTCATTTAGCATTAGATGGACAAAGGCAAATGTCAGCAGAAACAAAAGGAGTTGTCAATATAGAACAGGCTCCAGAGACAATGCAGAATTCTGCTTTCTCCTGCCATGAAGTCCCTCCTGTTTTCACCAGCCACGCTGCGGGCAGTGCTGCCGGCAGCACACATACCTGGCGCTTGCTGATCCAACAGCTCCAGGTTCTGTAACAGGCCTTTGCCGGCCGGTGCTCCCAGCAGGCTGGCGCTGCCCTCGGGATCTGGCGGCAGCCGGCACACTGTCCTGGCTCAGGAGAGCACGTTCCTTGCCTGGAGGCTGGGCTGAAGCTTCTTGCTGAGCCCTTGACTGGCTTCGCTCTGTCCACTGCCCATTCTCCTCTTGGCTGGGTATTTTTAGGCATCTCACCCTGTGGTTCCTCATTTTCCAGGGTCTGGCTGCAACACCCGTTCCAGACGCAGGGGTTTTTAGAGGGGATGGAATTAGACAACAGTCCGGGTTGGAGAGTACTGCACCTTCCTGAGCCTGTGATGAACCTGCAACAGGCGGCAAAGCGCAGTGAGTTACCCCATCACCTTACCTCTAAACAACTGACCCAGGGAGCGAAAGGCTCTGGAGAATGCTGTGTGATGGAGCTGGGTGGCAGATGTGTCCTGGGGCACATAGCGATGCTGGGCTCATGGAATCACCTTCTCCCACAGCCGGGGTTTGGGTTAGCGGGCAGCCTCCCTGCCAGCCCTGCGGGCGATGTGCCAAGCACTGGGACTGCTCACAAGCCAGGCACAGCTCAGGAGGGACCGAGCATCTCCCCCATCCTCCTGCGCTCAGGCAGGATCACACCTGCACCATTCCTGGCCAGTGTCTGCACCGACTTGTTTTAAATACCCAAGGACGCCACCCAGACACCTGAAAGTCAAGGCACAGGAATAACTGCAGACGAGTGGATCCACTTCTGTTTAATCAGAGGCAGAGGTATAAAAATAAGATCTTGAGATTAGCCTTAAAATTATGGGAAGTTCCTGACTGCTGGGGAAAATACTGCACTACAGGCAGGACTACTATCTGGCTGTTCATACTTTACCCACATAATCCTCAGGTGCAACATACAGAGAAGAAAAATCTTGTTGTCGACTTACTAATATAGTGTGCATGCATATATACATGCTTAAAACCATTACAATATACCGCAGCAATCTCATTGCTCTTGTCTACTAAAAGAACCAACGGTACCTAAGTGCCTGAAGTGCAGGGTCCAGGGCGGGAATGTGCCACCAAAACCCAGGCCCAGAAAAGTATTTTACTGCTTGGGTAGCCCCATAAAGCTGATAGAAAATTTTCACTGAACAGTTTGCATCATACTATATGCTTTAAAAATGATGAAATTTCACAGGAGTTTTTATTTAAGTAAAGAACACTCAACAACTTCCAAAGAGTGCAGGTTATATGGATCTGATGCTGCAAACACTTTTCTATAAGAGCAGTTTTGCTCAGATGACTTGTCCTTTCCTGGTCAGAAGGATTGTTTCCAGCAACAAGTTTTTCAGTGAGAAAACCACATTGGGTAGGACACACTTCTGAAGTCAAGTGTTGGAGCATGTAAACATCTCTCCAAATCTTCATACAGTCTCAAGTCACAGAGGTCAAGTGTATTTTTAACTGCCTTGCAGAATGAAATCCACCAGTTGTTAGTTTTCTCTGGTATTTGCTCTGCAAAACACATATGGGCAAAGGCTACTGTGTTTGTCATTATTCAAATCTTGGTTACCACAGTCAGCTGCTTGTGATCTGGGATCTGGGTGATCCACCCCACCAAGAGTAGATTTCAAACCACTCCATCAGTCTTGTAACCAAATCTTGGCAGATGGAGTTACAGGATGGGCAGATCTATGCCCAACCATCCGCTTTTATCATCCTACAGGGCATGACACCGGTACGCTGGGAGATGTTTGGGGCATTGTCTGCTCAATCGAAAATGATGATGAGATCGTAATAAATCATATTCAATCTAAAGAAATCATATTACATCTAAAAAAGATCAGATTAAATCTGAAGAGACTGTGAGATCATAATCTAAGCCTGCTGTGGTCACTGGACAACAGGCCTTTCCTTTAGATTTTTGCAAACTGCTTCTGTTCTTGTTTAGGAGATATTGTTTATATTACTGTTAATACACAGGTGCTAAGAATAGTTTAATGACACTTCTGTTTTTTCCAAAATACATTATATTTTTTGAAATTTTAATAAATTCATTTTTGCCCTTGAAAGAAATATAAAATGAAAACTCAGTTGCTAATATTTATTGAGGCAGAAAAAAATACTATTAACCATAGAAATAGATTAAAGTTGTACTTTTGTAAGCTCCTTGACTTGATATGTATTTGGAATAACCATTATTAATGTTTCTAATATTCTTAAATACAATATTCAACAATTTGTGATGAGCAGGAATCCTGCTTTCATTCATTTCAATGCAATTCCAGTGAGGCCTTGGGCTTTGTTCCTGAGTAAAGAACATGTTTCATTTTTAAACACTTTACTGAATGTATCCCTTTGGTTGCCTGTCTTTCCGGAATTCCCAGGTGCCCAGTGAAACGTTAACCACTAGCTCAGCCACTATTTGCACGAGTGACAGCTGGGGTAAAGTCCAGCACAGCTGGAATTACAGTATTTTAGGCTCACCTGGCACTGACACAAGTTAATGACAGAAGGTAAAAGACAGAGGCATGTCCTTCCTCTAGCCTTGATGCTCAACTGGTGCAAGATCAGCTTTGTTCCTCCTGATTCTACAGATCCGTGCTCAAATATATCAACTGATGGTCAGCACAGCTGGCCACCGTGTCCTGCTTAAAAACTGGAAGGAATTACTCTGAGTCTGGCTCTGCAATGGTATTTCCAAATTGCTGCTCTAGAGCACAGAAGCCAGACCTCATAAAACCCTGCAGCTGCTAGCACACCTCTCTACAACCAGTTAGCAGCACCTGTCACTACCCGATGCGAACCCTTCCCCAGAGGTTTCAGTCCAGTACCTGAGGAAGACTGGGAGAGACAGGAGTGGCAGGAAGAACCAAGTGAAATCCTTTCAATGAGGTCCTCATCACAGGTCTCCCTCAAATCTTCACAGCCGTCCATCAGGCTGCAGTCTTCACCCTCTTCCTCATCACTCAGACTCCCCTTCAGGGCTTGGGCAGCTTCTTCTTGCTGAGCTTTCTGCAGGCACCTGGACAGCACCAAGGATCACACCTTTAGCTGGCCTTTGAGCTGCGACTGTGCAGCTAGCCAAGTGCAGCCGGGCACAGCCACACGGGCAAACCCCCAGACAGGGGATTTAGTCACCCGCTGGGATTTCCCACTTTCCTGGAGATACAGAAAAGCATTCCAAATGGATCAGCCATCTAAGATGCCTGTGTCTGATATCTGAAAGTGTCCTCAAGTTAATCAAGTGAAATGGGACAGATCAGTGAAGTCAGCTGAGAGAAATAAAGCAATTTTTACTTCCAAAACAACTATTAACTAAGAGATGGAGGAATCTCAGCACGGCATTATTTTTCTTTCAGCCTTTCATTTGGTCAGACCAATGTGATGCTTGCAGAAAACCTCATCCACTTTCAGTGTCTGAAAGCAGGCACTGTCAGGGTAAGGAATTCCAGACCAGTTATGAAATGTCTTCCCGTGCTCTTGCCAAGCAAGCGAGCCCCCCTTGCCCATGCTGCTCTTCAGCCTGCTCGAGAGAGAGCCCAGAGCTTCCCCCTGGTTCCTCCTCCGTTGCCCACCCTGCGATGCTCCAGCGGGGAGGATGGATCGAAGGATTCCCACCGCAGGGACAGGAAGGCAGGAGCCCAAACTGTCCCTTGAAACTGCCACCAGGTGGCCAAAGAGATTATTTTATGATTACAGCAGAAAATGAACGCCGGCTTTATTGCACGACAACATTTCTCCCGTGGGCTCACCACTTGTGCTGCTCCTGCCGTACTTTCAGTCCAGAAAACACGTCTTCCTGGTGCAGATCTCCTCCTCCTCCAGAGCCACAAAGGTTTGCTGCCCTCAGACCACACAGTTTCAAAGGGCTCACTGCAGGCGGCTGCAAAAATAACAAGTTATTGTGATAACCTCAGGAGCTCTCTCTCCCCAGCTCTGTTTCTAGACTGTGGATTTTAGAAGGCACCAAAGCACGTTACCCCTGAGTTTTCACATCACCCCTCGCCATTTTCTTGCTCTTTGGTTTTAAGAAGCCCCGTGCCCCAGTCACGTCCACTGATACAGCTTGAGGAACCCTGGGTGGCAGTGACAATGTCGATTTTTACCTCACTGGCAGATAAGCCCGCAGCATTTATGCCGATAAGCTCATTAAGATCAGTAGCAGGGCAGCTGCATTGCTCAGCACATGACCACAGTCCCCGTTCACCCCCTGGTTTATAACACACAGTAATGCACATTTCATAGACTCATAGAATCACAGAACGGTTTGGGTTGGAAGGGACCTTCAAGATCATTGAGTTCCAACCCCCCTGCAGTCTGGCTTGTCATTAGCAGTGCAATGTTAATTGAGATCCCCTCTCAGCTTTATCTTCCAATTTTTTCTGAACAGCACATTCTTCAGCTCCCATTTAACAGACACTGCTTTTCCACCTGGTTTCTACGTATACTGCAATTAGTTCAAGTTGCAATAATATACTAAAATTGGAACATATTTTACTATGGGTCATCCTGTCGCAAGACAGTTCTTTATCCACTTTTATATTCTCCTTACTTAATTTTCTTCCTCTTCTCCATCTAGAGGGATTAACACGATGGTCTTTTCCAAACTTCTCATGTTAATTTGTTTCAGAAAAGCTTCTGGTGCTTGTGCAGCGGCAGCAGAGAGACAAGGAAGGGACACATTTTTTCCAGTGGTTCCTTTACATCTGGTGTCAGCGTTAAGCAAAGCTGTCACCAGTGCAGCAACGCAGGTGCCCTGTGCATGCCATTCCCCTGACCTAGCACAGCCTGTGTAACGT